CTGAGCTCACCTCCCTCCCACAGACACAGGGGAACGCCAGCTCCTTATGGAAGCTTCCTCTGGCAGGTCGGGGGGGAACAAAACCCCTAAAGCCTGGCTGAGCAACTCCTACAGCTCCACCCGCCCAGAGGGACGCCACATGGAAGCCGGGAGGAGAGGCTGGGCCACGGCCTGGCCGTGAACCTCACCCCTGGCTCAGGGAGGAGCACCAGGCGGGAAGTGGAAACCCAGCCCTTGTCCCTGGGGAGCCAGGGGGGTCATACCCCACATCGGGAACCCCGACTTTAACCACCTGCACCTAAGAGGTGAGACCCCCTCCCCCCCAGATAGCTAAAACATTTGGAAACCCATACGGGGCTCGTGTCTTAGAGACCTGCTCCTTAAGGACTGGCCGGTGGACTTACCAGCCCGGGGCTCAGCGTAGCGGCCCCCCATCCCGTCCGGGCTTGACGTGAGAAAGGCTCCTCTGCTGCTAGGAAAGCGTGTCGGCCTGCGGAGCCATCGGGTTGACCACGCACGTCTCAGGCCGGGGCGCTCTCTGCACCTGCAGCGACGGGACTGGAGGCCGCCATCTTTGTTTCCACCCCGGTGGGTCGTGCGGTCGGGAAGGGCTTGCATTCCTAGGTCTGTGGGACTGTGACAATCCGAGAGACAGTTCTTGGCAGCCGCCCCCCAGGGCACTGCATGCGACAGCGGACTGACACACACCCCAGTCGTTTGGGGAGGGAAGCTCATTTGCTTGTCCAGGAGCTTTGGCCTGAGGGGCACGCCTCTGGTTTGGGACACTCCTTGGGGGCCCTGTCGGGGGGGGGGTGCTGCAGCTGGCCACTGTCATCCAGGAGGGAGCCTGTACCCTTGCCTGGCAACCCCGAATTTTAAGGTTGCCACCAGGGCACCTCGAAGTGCCACGGATCTGGCGGCCAGCAGGGCAGAGGCTCAAGAGTCCCCCAGGACTGTAACCAGTGGAGAAAGACAGCCACCACCCCCAGGGCACAGCAAGAGAGGCAGGCATCTCATTAAAGACAGAGAGGCCCCTGAAATAATGAAGTTTGGGATTATCAAGGGAGACAGACATTAAGCAAATGTCCTTCCAAATATGAAGTTAGTGTTAAAAGTGGTGAGTGCTCTACACACACGGGTTCAACACCTTGAGTTTGGAGAGCTCTTTACATCTTTTGGATACAAGTCCTTTACCAGACGTACGCTTTGTAAATATTTTCTCCCAAGTCTGTGGCGTCAGGGGCTGTGAAGGGTCTGATGTTTTTTTCCTGCCGGCAAAGTAACATGTGAGCCTTCTAAGATGTCCAAGATATTAGCCTTCCCAGATTTCCACGATATTGGCAGGACACACAAGGCTCCGGGGTTGGAGAGAAAGGACTTTGGAGCCTCATATTTGCCTGTTTCCTTAGCTCCCAACCCTCTACCCCCAGGACCCAGGAGGGTTGTGGAAAGACCCAGGCAGGTACTGCCGCGCACACGGTGGGTTTGTGTTGCACCTGAGACCCCAGTCTTTTAAAGAGGGCTGGCAGCAAGGCCGCCCAAACTTTGCCCTGGAGAAGATACTCTTTATTACACTGTCAGGAAGCAAATGTGCCCTCTGCCCCGGAGGGAGCCTTTCTCGCTTTTTGCTAGATCTATCCTTTAAAAAACAGTCCAGAACAAAAGTGGTTAATGCGTTTGCTCCAAACACATGCCGGAAAATGAGAGACCCGAGGAAAACCTCTTCCCCAGAATTATTTTTTTCACTCTCTTAAGCTGCATCTTTTGAAGAGCAGAAAATTTATTTTTGATAAAGTCTAATGTATCAGTTTGATTTTTGTATGCATCATCCTTGGAGTCATGGCTAACATAGCCCTGCCTGACCAAGATCTCAAAGAGTTTCCTGATGTTACCTTCTAAAAGGTTTATAGTTTTAGGTTTTATCTTTACGTTTATGGTCCTTTTTTTTTTTTTAAAGTTTATTTATTTTTGGGACAGAGAGAGACAGAGCATGAATGGGGGAGGGTCAGAGAGAGGAGACACAGAATCTGAAACAGGCTCCAGGCTCCGAGCTGTCAGCACAGAGCCCGACGCGGGGCTCGAACTCTCGGAATGCGAGATCATGACCTGAGCCAAAGTCGGACGCTCAACCAACTGAGCCACCCAGGTGCCCCAGGTTTATGGTCCTTTTGAGTTCATTTTTGTATATGGTGTGATCAAACTTTTTTTTTTTAAACCGATGGTATCTTTTTGAAAGATTCTCCATCAAATTGCCTATGACCATTTGTCAGAACCCAGTGGTCCATAAATGTGTGGCTCCATTTCCACACTCAATATTCTTTTCCATTGATCTATGTGATAGAGCGTATTGATCGACTTCAAGTCCGATATCGCACTATCTTGATGCGCATAGTGTATAAGAGCCTTGCGTTCAGCTATGGGTAGTTCTCCAACTTGGTTCTTCTTTTTCAAAGCTGTTTTAGCTTATACTCCATCCTTTGCATTCCCATATGAATTATAAAATCAGCTTGTCATGGTCTATGAGAAGCTTGCTGGGATTCTGATTAGATTGTGTTGACTCTGTACATTAAACTGGGGAGAATTAACATCTCAGCAATATTGGGTCTTCTGCTTCTTGAACACAGTGTATCTCTCATTTATTTAAGTCTGGAGTTCCCCTGAGAGATGTTTTGTAGGTTTTTTTTTTTTTTTAAGTTTTTTTTTTTTCAACGTTTATTTATTTTTGGGACAGAGAGAGACAGAGCATGAACAGGGGAGGGGCAGAGAGAGAGGAAGACACAGAATCGGAAACAGGCTCCAGGCTCTGAGCCATCCGCCCAGAGCCCGACGCGGGGCTCGAACTCACGGACCGCGAGATCACGAGATCCCGCGAGATCGCGAGATCGTGACCTGGCTGAAGTCGGACGCTTAACCGACTGCGCCACCCAGGCGCCCCCATGTTTTGTAGTTTTTAGTGTACCTGTGTTTCACCTCTTCTATCAGATTTATTACTAATTATTCCATAGAGTTTCCATTTTTTTTTCTTTCCCTCTTTTTTGCTTCCAACCTCTGGGAGCCCTTTTTCTTGTACACAGTATAAGAGTTCTCTTTAAAAGAATCCTGCTTGACAACCTTTTCCTTTTAATTGCACTAACAGTCAACTCATATTTACTTTAATTCCAAATATATTTGTGTTCAGACAACTCGGACACAGCTTCCCATCTGCCCAGGCACACATGGGATACTTTTTAATCTTAGGGCCAGCAGGAGGCAATGAAAACCAGGTCCCATCAGGATTGGGAAGCTACGTCTAAGCTATGCGTAAGGTCCATCAGTCTAAGCGCTCGGACATCCAGTCCCTGTAAGGGGAAGCAGACTCCTCCTCCTGGTCCAGAGGTGGCTTCAGAAGGAAGCAGGCCAGAGTGAGAGTGTCCTCCTCCTCCCTTCCCCTGATTTCAAATATTATCCTCCGCAATATGGCAGCCATGTTATTCATTTTGGTGTTCCATGGAAAATAATCTGTGCTTCAGCCAAATGATGAATGGCAAATTTCTACACACATTACTTTTAGACCATAATGGAAGGAAAATATTGGGTGGGTTGAATTGAATCCGCTAATGAAAACCAGTGATATTTCTCAGGCTGAGTTCAAGTCTTGAAATGTCCAAGTTCCAAAAGAGAAGGAAGAACTATTAAAAGACCTCTGGTGGGAAGAATATTGTAACCAAAGGACGTGCAGTCATTACCGGATATATTTGAAAGACCTCAGAGTTTTGAGAGAAACCAAGTAGAAAAATAAGGCTAGCAAGTGGGAACTCGACTTTTCGCACAAAAGTTCCCAATATTTCACAAGTGTTTATGCAACGCAAAAAGGCCCAAAGGGGTCAGATCCATTTTCTTCCTAGCATAGTAGTGTCTCTCACACGGGCTACAATTCTGTCTGCCTTTCTCTCATGTGCTTAAGTAATGTCATTTGGTACATTTCTGTGTTACTGGATTAAATGTCCATATCAGAATGATTTTGGTGCTTCTGTGGGCTAAGATGTCAGTATTTTTGGTTTAGAAGTAACTTTGTACTATGACTTGAAAACATCACGCTGATTTCCCAAAGGCTGTTTTGTGTCTTGCATTTTTCTCTTTTCCTTTTTTTTTTTTTTTTGAGAGAGAGAGAGAGAGAGAGAGAGAGACAGAGAGAGACAGAGAAAGAAAGAAAGGCAGGGAAAGAAAGAGGGTGAGAGAATTTAAGCAGGCTCCATGCTGAGGCTCCGTGCGGAGCTCGATCTTATGACCCTGGGATCATGCATGACCTGAGAGCTGAATTCAAGAGTCAGATGCTCAACTGACTGAGCCCCTCGGGCGCCCCTTGCCTGTCTAGCTTTAAAAAAAAAAAAAAAATCAAAACAAATTGGGCATTTCGTATTCCAGGAGGGGGCCCTATCCACACACACGCTCTGGTTAAAAAAATGTTTGCAAGGGGAGATAAAAATGTTTTAAACTTGATTGTGGTGGCAGTTACATGCCTGTCTCTGTCAAAACTCACAGTAATATACCCTAAAAAGAATAAATCTTTCTGTATGTAACCGTGTAATCCAAAGGAGAACAAAATGGGGGTAGGGCATCTTTTTAAGCGTGTTAAGATGCATTTTGATAAGCTATTTCAATCTAAGCAAGGAACTTGGGTGCCAAATATCAATGTGAAGTGACATAAAACAAACACATTATGAACATCCAAAAATCTGGACTTACAATGGAAATGTTGACAGCTTCTGAAATTAAATGGCACTCAATCACTAATTTTCTTTGAGGGTAAGATTTGTACCCTGCTGGGCTTATAATTCTGTTTTCTCTTTTTGCGCTGTTCATGTGTAAATATTGCTAATTTCATTTGACACAAAAACGGCAAACAACTTAATTTTGTTTCTAAGCTAGTCGATGACACAGAGGCTACCTTCTAGATGAAGCAGGCAAGCTTCGTGGCAATCATTTGCAGGCGGGGTGGAAATCAAGGCATTTCAAATGTATTTGTAACAAGGAAACAAATTTATTGATTTTAAAAGACAAGACACCATTTTGTTTTGAAAAACACAAGAAAGCTAGCCTGAGTTCAAGTCTGAAATATTCAGAAAAATCCTACTAATATCTTTAGTATGTTCCAGTCATTTGTTTAAACAACACACTAAAAGTTAATATATATTTTTATAATTATAAAAGTTCCCCAGTTATTGTACAGTACACAATACAAATCGCCCACAAACTATTATTTAACTCCTGCCAATTTTGAGAGGACATGATATACTAAAAGATTTAGCATTTCTCACAAAAATCACATCAGGAAATACGTATTTACAAAATCAAATACATTATACAAAAAACCATCACATGTTATTCGGTAAGGATGTTTTTAAATAATTAAAAAGTTTATTCAACTGGAGTCCAAAAACTGGAAAAGAACATTACATTATCTCACACATACAATCTCTACAAAAGTTGCTTACCTCATTTACATAATATATTCAGTCGATTGTAAAATAAATGTTCAAATATCTCCTAGTGTTACTATGTTTCTGTGCTTGTGGGACTGAATAATGTAATCTGCCACTTACTAAGTGAAGTTTAAATGATGGCACTTAAAAAAAATACAGTATTTTAAAAAAAACACAATGAAAGAAGTTTTACCTAGAAGGTACGAAAGCCCTGAGTGATAGTAGAATTACTGATTGGTAAGCACTACAATTAACCTAATTAAAAGTTTACCACCCCAGGCACAAATTTCCAAGTTTTCTCAAGGCACTCACAACGCGTTGGTCACCACCATAGGGTCCCAATTGATGATGGAGATGAGTAGAGAAAAAAATTTGCTTTGGTACAAAAGATACTTTTCAAACGAATAAAATTCAATACCTCCTTTATTGGGTCATTTAAAATTGTGTTTAGCAGGTTAAAACAAGGCAATCGTTCGTTCAAAACTATTAATTCGTTGAAGGAAAAATTTACTCAGTTATCAACAGTCAGTGGGAGTTTTTGTTTTTCTCCTTCCTCCCCCGGAATCAAAATTCTTCTGACAGTGATTTGTCGTTCTCATTATTGAGCCTACGCAACAATTCTTACCAAAGATTTCATTACTCAGGGCTTCCAATCCCAACATCGTAATTTATTTAAAAAACAAAGGAAAGAAGGGAGGGGGTGAAAAGAATCAAACACCGGAACCAAGTAAGAGACAAAACACAGTTCTGAAAATAAGACGGATTACCGATTACTCCAAAGGAAAAAAAGAAATCCTAGGCAGTCACTTTGTAAGTGGCTTTTACTATTTAAGTAAAGTTGGTAAACTAAACTCAGGTGTACTGGCACATAAAATCACTAGCAGCAATGATCAGAGCATGCAAACTGAGAAGCATTTACAGTAAATCATCATGAAGAATCCAAAAGAAGAGAGTTAAATTAAAACCCTTTGAGTATTGCATGTTAACACATGAGTAATTTGCATGGTTTGACTTCCTACGCCGTCTAAAAAAAGCCATGTTCACGGCAGACTTGCACTAAGCTACGGATGTCCCTTCCCCAGACATCGGAATAGGTCACACTCTGCCGTGCGCCCGGCCGGGGCCGCCGCGCACATCTGCAGACGACACCGCTCTCAGGCTCCGTCGCGCAGGGGACAGGGGGGGACCGAGTGCACGCAGAGCGGCCCGTGAACGAAGTCGGCAACTCTGGAGGCAGACTGGCATTTACAGATCTCGGAAGCAGTCGCCACGGCCCCTCCCGACAGAGGAGCTGAAAATCAAGTGCTTTGCTCTCCATTCTATCTATGTCTACTGTTTTGGACAAAGTGTTAAAGGTTTTGGAGCACAGATAAAGATAGGCCCTGTGTGAAAGTCCCAAAATGCTGTTTTATGAGAGCTCTAACTCCAAATAGCTTACCTGCCCCCGAAGAGTTCAGCTTTGCTTCACCCACTCGAACTCATTTCTTCCTAAGGCTTCGCTTAACAATTGTACTTCCTAAAGCTAAATTAACGCGATCTTTTTGTTTTGTTTGGGGAAAGAAAAAAACAAAAAAGTAAAGAAACGTAACCCTTTCTTTATCATACCTTTTAAAGGCAATCTAGGTACTTTTCGATGTGCAGAGATCAGTTAGGACATAGGTCTACAGGCCCATGTATCTGTTCTCCTTTTCTAGAGTCATGATGTGATGCTAGAAAAGTTGATTTTTTTTTTTTTCTGTAAACAGTACACTTACTTAGATGGCAGTGAATATTTGGGAATAAATATATCAAGCCCTCTTGAAGAAGAAAATTAAGAGTTGTATATAAAATGCAAGTGTTCAGCATGGAAACACTTTCTCTTCCTCCCCCTCCCCCCCTTTAAAAAAACAGCATAATTAGACATTTGGATATAGAGTATATTTTACCGGTCTAACTCTAAATAAATGATCTGAAAGGCTTTTGTCCCCCATTGTATATCTTACAATGCTCAAAGGGTTAATACAAGGCATTACATCAAAGGGGTTTTCTAATACTAGAACTAAGCACTGAATTAATGCTTCTATTCCAGTTTTTTTTTTTTTTTAAATCACCAAACTTGCAGAAATACTAGGATTCCATTCATTGATTTGTTCTAACCATATACATGGAGGTTGATCTGATCGAGTGACAAGCCCAATTTTCATAGCACTGCATGTCAACCCCTCTCCCCCATGTTCTGCTGTGATTCATAGAGATCGTCAGTTCGGATTTCGATTTTTTTGCGAGTGGTTTTCTCACCAAGAATTTGGGGGAGAGAAGGTTATAACGAAGGTCAATTTGCTGTATATAACTACTGCCTCAAATCGTACAGGAAGGCGGTTTGCCAAAGTTGTTTACTTTCTACTTGTGTCCACCCAGGGAGGGCCAACATCACCGTGACACTCTTTTTTTCCCCCCTTTTACACTAATGTCTCAAGCACAGCATCGTTTTAGACATCTCAAATATATCATCTGAAGAATTTTTTCCAATTTGAAAATGCATCACGTTTAGCACTTCGAGAGAGTGCATTCATGTAAAAAGGTTCATGATTACAGTAATGAAACCGTAGTCATTCCCGGATGACTCTGACAGCGTTATTCCACGAGAAATGTGTTCATTTTTACTCACCCACTACAAATCAAAGGCAGTCAACGTTGCACGCGACTAATTTTAGGTATGCAGTGTTAAAACCATTTTCTCAAATTTGCTTTTGTTTTTTTAAAGTACACCATCTAAAGAGAGGTGCGTGAACCGTCCTATACAGTACAAGAAAAAGCACAAAAAGGAAAGCAGATTTCTGAAAAGGCAGTAAGACTTAAAGTAGTCAGTCCAAACATGGTCTGGATGAGAATCCTGAAAAAGTGACCAGCCATTTGATATCCAAAGAAAAATTTTAAAGTTGGGCCCTGTGTTCCGAGGAGATGGTCCCCCCATTTCACCCCATTGTTCACTGGCTTCATGAAACGTAAATCTTCCAGGTATGGTTCTCAAAGTATGTATGTGAAGGTCAAACCATACCCACGAGACGCAATCCTCTTATACGGAAGTATCTTTTCTAAAACTTAAAAACAGCCAACATGCCTTCCTTACGTTTTCGTCGCTGAAAGTGTAGCACTTGGTCTGTGTAGATAGTTTCCATGACTAGTGGTTTGATTACAACGTCAAGAAATGTCAAGAAGTCCTTAAAGTGTAGACTTGTCACTTGTCAATACATCTACTCTGAGAGTCTTAGTGTCACGGTTACGTAGAAAAGTCACAGTTTCAATGAATGAGAGAAAAGAAAATGAAATGTCAAATCAAAGCAATACTTGGGATCGTTCGACTCTCCTCAGACGTACAAAGGGTGAGGTCTGAGTTTTCTAATATACCTCACGAGGCCAAGTCAAGATTGGCTGAGATGTCTGTGTCTGACTAGGGGTGTGTCCTATCTTACTGTGGACGACAGATCGCCAGAAGTAGCAAAGAATGAAGACGCGCTTTTGTCTGTTGGTCAAAACTATCTGCCCTTGTCACAGATGAATGCTCCCGTGTTCACAAAGGAGCCCAGAACGTGTTTAGCGAGTCAGGCTGAAAAGTGAGAATGGTTCATGCAAACCACGAACACCTAGAAAAAATGTTGAATCCTGGAGGCTCCCCAATCCCTACCTTTCATCCATCGAACTCTGCCCATTAGGATCAGATCCCTCTAATGATACAAACATACCCAACGTTAAACAGTGATAATAGATACATTTAAAATCGTCCAAGAAACAAGACGAAAGCAGCAAAAACGTTTGGTCCGATACAGATGGAACACAGTTCTGGGGCTGGTGGGCGGGGGAGAGGAAAGCGAAGAAGCGTCTCAGAAAGGAGAGTTGAAATGAGGGGGGGGTTCTTTTTCGTCTTGTGGTTCGAACTAATTCCACCTGTAAACGTTCCCCAACGCACGAGGAGCTAGACGTGCGGGGTTTTCGTGGTGAAGGTGTTCTGTGTGTTTGCCTTTTTTGTGCGTGTGATGGTACCAACCCATCACCTCTTTTGGGGAGAAGAATGAGGGGGAGGGCCACTCAAGTGATACTTGGGTGAGGTGATGGTCGAATGCTCGTGAAGACTTTCCAAAGAGATGCCTGAGTTGAGTCATATAAAATTACATCTGAAACGTTTCAAGCTGACTTCAGAAACTCTGTTGATCTTTGTTACGTGAATAGTGTGAGGCAATCGGGCCACCGGAGGGAAAACACACCGCGTGGTACCCGATACGCCATTTGGTATTTTTCACTTTACGGACTGGCTCATCCCCCTCTTTCCAAGCCCTCTCGCCCACCCCAGGAAAACCGGAAAGACAAACATCTTGAGTTTGAGACAGGCCTCATTAACAATCTGTAAATCATGTGTGCTTTCCCTTTCTTTTTTTTGGGGGGGGGAGGGGGCTTTGTGTTTATGTATTATTTTTGCTGATCAGCTTTCTAAAAACGATTAAAATGAATGGCTGTGCCTGTTTTTGTTTTTTGTGTGTGTGGCGGTTGTTAATAACTCGAGTGTTTAAAAGAACCTTGGCTTTCATGTAAATTAACATAAGGATGGATGGGGGGTGGGTCCCGTCTAGGACCTCACCTGACTTTGCAGCTGACTCCCGCCCGCGGGCACGTGTGTATGCCATGGACACACAGACACCAAGAGGCAGACACAAACATTTAGACCGACAAGATGCACTTCGATAAGTCCCTGCTTATTTCGTCAACTTTCTTACATGAGAACTAGATACAAATGGTCTGAAACACCTGTGATGGTACGCGACAAGTTGGTAATTAAAAACCAGTCCGCTGTTCCACGCCCTTAAGCAATCTGATGGGTAATCGAGTCATAGTCAGCTCTACGAACAAAAAGTACGTCCGCGGTCACTCCAAGAGGGGAATTGAGTTTTCGTCTTTTTGCTTTGCTTTGTTCGCCCTACATTTCCTTTGAAGAGCGCGTAACCTGTCCTCACTTCGGGAATCGGAAAGGGACAGGCACACCTTGTCAAATGGATTGCGGAGGAATTCACATGAACAAAATAAGCCTTACTAAAACCTTAACTTCAGTTCTGTTTTAAGGCACCATGTAATAGCCGAGGTACGATGATCCCTGATGTACATTCTTCAATGGCACTGGTCCATCCAGCCACCTATCCAAATCCTACAGAAATGGGGATAAAGCAACAGTGTGGTGAGCCAGCTATACTGCCCTCAGGTTGTGTTTACAATTTAAAATCCACACCCTTTAGAAACCAGGAAATAGATTTGAAGGAAATAACGATATGCAGGTTGCTACATTCCTTGCGTTCTATAAATTTTCTTTTATAATAGCAGCAGAGGGAACTACTATTAGGAAAAAGACCTGGAATAAAAGAAAGTCATCCAAATGGAATGGTTTCCTGTATGTCCAGTTCAGCATAAGTAGCATGTACACTTAAAAACAAAACGAAACAAAACGAAACACAAAAAAAGTCAAGTCATTTTTTTTTTTTCAGCTTCAGTATCTAACTATAACAGCCCCGCTCAACAGCAGAATGCGTCTGTGCAGTGGTCCCAAATACAGAATCAGTAGTCTTTAAACAGAGGAATCGGTATGCAAATAACGGTTAAAATGCAATGTTTAACGGAAGCTTGCGTTAATAGGGTTTAATAATTATGTACACAAATTATGTACATATTAGCATAATCTCTTGCAGGTCTGTCATTTACTCTGAACAGATAAATGCACTAGCTCCAGGTTTTTTCTCCGGAGAAAAACAGATGACCTTCCCAACCCTCTAGCGCCATGATAAAAATGCTCTGTATTCTCTCTCCGTACCAAAGAGTTACCGAAATCGTGTCTTGTGGTTCCGTCCAATGAAAAGCACCTTTCAAAAGCAAATTCAATGCATCTGCTGCCAAATGGGCATGCCTCCAGTGTAAATCAAAGGAATTCATTTCTTTTGATATTTCACAGAAGTGCATCTAATTAAAAACTCACACGTGAAATCATACACCAAGACTAACAATCAACAATCAAATATTTTAAGCTACAAAAAAATGTAAATCACTTTTTAATTATAAGAAAACGAACACATTGGCATTAGGTGTGGTAAAAATCCTTCTTGACACCTGAAACTAAAGGAAAAAAAAGAACAACTTATTAAGAGGCAAATGATTTTTTTTTACGTTAAAAAAACAACAACAACAACAACAAAAAAAAAACACCTGGCAAAATACATACATCCATTCCATTTCACAACTCCAAAAAGGTAATGTTCAGCACAGATAGAATTTGACAACAGTCGACCTTCAGGCTTATTAAAATTTCACCTTAAGCCCAATATATCAACAGGGGTAACGTTAGCTGGAAAAATACGCTTTAATATTCTTTAGACCGCAGTGTAGGTGTTTCCCGTGGCGCTGCACTGTCTGATAGTCTGACTACTTGTGACGATGTGCTCGCTGTGAATTGGATTCAGGAGACTGGGCTGCACGCCGCTCTCGAGAACGGGCTGCATACAACCCACTTGAAACGCCTGGTTCAGCTCGGTTTTCTCCCTTTTGGCTTGGGGCTCCGAAGAGTCGTCCAGTTCTTCGTCCATTTCACTTTCCACTTCGCTGCCTTCATCTGCACAAACAACACCAAGACCGTTACCGGAAGACAAACCCGGAAACAGCAATCAACACGGGCTTTGGAAATTCCTCCACGGCATGTGAAGAGAGCAACTGGTGGGCGATTCTCAGGGGACGGGGTCGTGGGTTTGCGGCCAGCGGATTTCATTTGTATCCACACTCTCTTAGGGCATCCACTGTTCTTTCACACACAGCAGAAGTAACTTACTTTTGGCTGGTTTGTGGTTGGTACCTTTAAGAGTTCTTTCAGGAAGACCTCCAGGATTTCCTGAAGTCTTTGTGCTAAGTAGTTGGCCTCATCTGAGCGACCCTAAAGTAGTCACTTCGGTACACTGTGCTGGCTTTGGGGGAATCTATCCAGCTGAGAAATGCTTAACTGAAGAAAGGTCGGAAGGCACAACACTCTCAGTCTCCTCTGAAATCTACACTAGGGGTAAATTTCATCTGGGTGCATGTGAATGTAGGTGAGACCTCTGCTGATTTGCAAAAGAATATAACGACTGGGGCGCCCGGGTGGCTCAGTCGGTTGAATGTCCAACTCTTGATTTTGGCCAAGGTCATGATCACAGTCGTGAGATCGAGCCCCTTGTCAGGCATGGAGCCCACTTGGGATTCTCTATTCTCTCTCTCTCTCTCCCTCTGCCCTTCCCTGGCT